CAGTAGATAGTTGTATGTCATAGCTGCACATCCTTCTAGTTGCTGTATGTGGGACTCGGCCTCAGGATGGACGGAGAAGTGGTGCCTCGGTGCGCGCCCGGGATCCGAACCCGGGCCACCAGCATCGCAGCGCGCGCACTTAACCACCAAGCCACAGGGCCGGCCCTTTGAAAGTTTTTTGTTGTTTGGTTTTAAGTGTACTGTTCTGATCCTCTTAAAAGAAAGCAAATTTCCAGAAACTATTTAGTATAAGGCAAAGATGAAATTTCTTTTCAATTATAGAAATATTGAGGGGCTGGGCCAACGGTGTAGTGGTTAAGTTTGGTGCGCCCAGGTTCGTGGGTTTGGATCCCGGACTCGGACCTACACCACTTGTCAAGCCATTCTGTGGCAGTGACTCACGTGCAAGGTGGAGGGAGACTGGCACAGACATTAGCTCAGGGCTCATCTTCCTCAAGCAAAAAGAGGAAGATTGGGACCAGATGTTGGCTCAGGGCCAATCTTCCTCACTCCCCCTGTCCCCCAAAATATTGATTTGGGAGTATTAGAAAAATATTATACAAGGCAAATCCCTAGAGTGGAACCTCTCAGGAACATAATTTATAGAATTTCATATGATAGCCAGCATCTTTGCCATCTATACGGTTTTCTTCTGTAAAAAGTAACCCTTACATTTGAGTTGATCTTCTATTCGGACTAATACAGTATTATTTTTGACCATTTGGCTATCACTATTTTTATATGCACTGCCTATTGAAAAGGTAGAAATTGGAGCTCTTCAATTTTTATTACTGGGCATGTTCTTGTCTGAGTCAGCGACTTATGTCTTATGCTGAGTTCTAAAGGAAACCTCTTATTTCTGGAGAGTAGCTTTATCTCCCTTGAGGATTGTCTGCCCCAGCAGAGGAAGCTCTGTCACTGGGATGGTGTGCTGGGTTCCTGGCTTTCATCACTCTGGAGATACAGGTCTGACGACATTCAGAGGAAGAAAGAAAAACTGATGAGTCCTCGAGGAAGTAAATACAGTACTAGCTGGAAATTTATACTGTTTGGGAACTGGGGCCGTGAAGAGCCAAATCTATGAATTAGGCAATTAATGTCTACATGTTATATAATAATCTCATCCTGAATATAAATGAAATTTCCTAAAATTCTCAGGAGTATATTGTTAGGATGGGAGCATCTTGTTCCCACGTAGCATCTACTCCAGCAACTACTCTTCTTCATAAGTTACACAGCACTACCTTCCTTTCCGGTCTGCTAAGGGCTTTGGCTGTCTTTGGTCTGCGGGTCAGCCCCTAGAGAATCTGTGATAACTACCTCTAGGATTGACTAAGTCTACCTAGAAAGAGATACCAGCTGAAATGCTGACTTGAAAATAAAATCTTAACCTCAGCTATACTATATTATCTGAAACAACTTTCAGAAATGGTAGATATTTAGTGAGTGACAATTGCAGCTGGCCACTTACTAGGAAGCCTGGGGCTTCAGACAGCAACACCAAGCCTAATGGTTAGTCCTTCTACAGAGGTGGCTATCGTTATTATCACGCCCGAATCTCTTCTTTCAGTCTTCTCAAGCAATAAAACATCATCCAGAAAGATGTACTCCCTCTAACAGCCTCTAGCAGCTACATCCAGCTGTGGTCACTGAATGTCTGATGCCCTTGGTCACCAGGCACTTGGGGCCCTCAGGGACTCAGATGACTCAGGGTGACAAAACTAGTAAATGAAGAGAAGAAATCAGATGAAGTGAAACCTAATAGATGGCGTTGCTAAAACTAACATATAGCCTACAAGCTGACTTTTTTCACTAAACCACCCTGTCTTCCTAGTTTTGAAATGGAAACATCCCTGAGTTAATATTTAGATTCTGGGTCTGGGTCTGAATGCTATGGGTGGTTAACATAAAAAGCTAAGGACTAAGGCCAGAAAGAGTTGTAATATCTAGGTAGGTGGGAGAGGTTTAATTGTTGTATATTCTTCTGGAAGCTTTTGGTTCCCCTGGAGAGGGCATTATTTCTAAATTATTCTATTTCTTTCCCACCTGTTCTCTCATTAGAGTTTACTTCTTAAATAATGAAAACAATATAAAATTCTCACATAAACCCCACAAGGTAGACACTATTATTGTCCCCATATTACAGATAAACAATAAAGATAAGAATCTTGTTCATGGTCAGCTGAGAGCCAGGATTCAAATGAAGGCAGTCTGGCTCAAAAGTCTATGCTCTAGTACAGGATACCACTAAGCTCTGCCCAAAAGAAGTGGCTGGCTGTTCCCCTGCTAGTCATGACTCAACAAGGCTGCATGCAAGTACTCTCACCTGCTCAGGGTCTTAAGTCTCCCTGTGGATAACACTGTGTTATCAGGTCACTGATTTATTAAGTCCCTAAATCCTCTATTCCAGGGTAGCCCTATGGTTTACTCCTTACCTTGCTTCTGTTCCCTAAACTTGCTTGGTGATAAGAATCACCTGGAATACTTGTGAAAAGCGGAGCTTCTCAGGATCCATTGGGTCTGATGTGGTCCCAGAAATCTGTTTCTAACAAGTGGCCCAGGTGATTCTTTTCATCAGTCAAGCTTGGGAAACACTGCTCTAGGAGTTTTAGCCAATGGGAACATAGTTGATCTTAAGTATTACATATTATATATTAAGTCAAAGTATTATTAAGTAGATGACACTTCTATAGCTGAATTAATCCAAAGCCATCAGTTCACATGGCACAAAGTGGTTTTCTTCAGGAAGGACTTGGGGAGTGGGTTGGAATGTCTTTGTTGCTTTTTTTCTTTTTGAGTGATGACTGTTAGAAAGAATTCTTTAAATGGTTGTGCCCTTGAGGGAGCTTCTGTATTGCTCTGGTCATGCAACAGCTTAAATCAAATAGAATGTAAGCCATTTTATAGAGTTCTTTTAAATCCTGCCTAAGAGAATTTTGGAGAAGAGTAAATTAAATAAAAGGAGAAAGGAGTACACAGTTCGAGTTCCTTGAAGGACCCTAAAGGAAACTCCTTATATAACGAAGAGAGGGACTCAGTCTTTTCACCTTAAATGTTTATGAATCTCATATAGAATGATTAAGGAGAATATAAGGGATTAATTCAATTTACACAGACCAACTAGGAAGCAGAAAAGATCTTTAACACTTAAAGAACTCAAATGCAAAACTGTTGAAATTCATGATCATCAAAATACTGTTTAATGTTAAAAAAAAGATGCCAAACATGCCTAATCTGCTTTGACACTATGTTCACTGCTTGTCACCAATAGAGAGTTTCCACCTCAGGCACCACTCAAAAGCAGACTCCTTCAGTTGCTATATTTATGAGTTAGTAGGAAAAAAAGGAAGATAGAGAATAATATTAAAAGACAGTCAAAGGAGGAGAAAGAAAGCCAGTCCTTTCTGCCCTGTCGAATGCTCTGCTTCTCAGGCCAGAGGCCTGTACCCAACTCTGAGTGGGACCGAGGCAGAAGCCGTACATACCTCTTGGTGGGAGTGGGCACCCCGGAGGACATGTGGCTCACCATGGTGTCATTCATATTGGTCAGAGGGCGAGGAGGACTGGAAGAAAAGACATTTATGTTATATTAATAATTACCAACATGATTAGGGGAAACAAACGCAAGAGTGATAAGGGCAAAAGAACCAACGATCATCCTGACAAGCACAGTGGGACCCCTGGGAAGTGGGGGCAAAAATCAATACTTCCTGCCTAAGTAAATTCACCAAGAGGGTTTGCTGGCACAAAGCCAACAGCCCACAGAGCTGTGCTGTCCTGGAGGAGCAATTCATTCTACACACACTGCTACAGGGAGGTAACTCCAGGGGCTTTTGTTTTGTAGCTGTAGTACACAAGAATCTGAGTTCTGTCACTTAATTTCTCTGCATTTTAGGCGTTTACAGGATTACTAGGTGTTTAGTGTTTATGGTATATTATGAAGGTCACAACAGCAAAGCACATGTTTTTCCTGAGATTTGGTTAGAGCTCATTGTCTTCCCTCAGATTTAGTTTGCACACTTTCTACCAAAACAATTAAACCATTAAATACTAAATTCTTTTATTAATCCTTTACTAGGATCTTTTTTTTTTTTTTT